GAATAGTAGCTCAGGAGCAGCCTTCCTCGACATTGAGAAACACCCTAACATTTTTTTTCATATGTGGCCTTATTCCTCTTCTGTAAGGGTTAGCCTATCACATACAATGTGTTGGAGCTCTAGCCAATCAGAGCGCGAGTGTTCTATAGTGATGTCACTATGTTCCGGAAGTAAACAAAGGAGTTTCTATAAAACATAAACAACACACTACAGGAGAGGGAAACCCCAAAAGCAGAACAGGGACTCTTTCAATTCCCCTTCTTAAAATGATTATTATGATTTATTCCTAATATTTATACACTTCCTTAAACTAATGTCTGTAGCATCATTGTGATTATTTATGAAGTACTTGTATTTTACTTTCACATTTTTGCCATTAAATAAACTCCACAAAGACAAGCGTGGACAAATATGTGTTTTATTGCCGTTGTGCATGAACACTGCAGGGTGCACAGGAAGTGACGTCACTCTCACCTTTTTATGACTTTACCAACAAAATGCATCCTCCATATTTAAAACCTTAGGAATGCAAGATGCTTCCTGTTATTGCACACATTGAGGGAGTGGCGAGTATACTGGGAACATTGGGGGAAGCCAAAGCTCTTTAAGGTGCTGACAGGTCTCCAGAAACCACGACGTAGCATTTAGCCTCTTCTGAAGCTACGTAGGCTATATACAAACAAACATGAGAGGGGTCGATGCAGGGAGGCCGAGAGACACCCAATAAAACAGCCTGTGTTATACATGACATGTTCGTAGCACACACACACACACACACACACACACACACACACACACACACACACACACACACACACACACACACACACAAACACACACACACTCTTGTATCTGTGCATCACACGTCTCTCTAGCTGACAGCCAATCAAAAGGCTGAGAGATATTTGAGGAATGTAGCGGCTATTTGTGTCTTAGGAACGCTTTAATGCGCTGGACGTGAGAGCTGCAGACTGGAGGGAGAAGCTGTGCAAACGCTCATCTCTGTGGCTACGGTTAGCATTTAGCTCGTGCTAACTGTGACTACATGCTAATCCTGCTAAAACTGTGCAGAAAAACAGACGCAGATTTGACAGATTCAACGCTGCGTTGGTCGGAACTCGGAATAGAAGCATTTATTTTCACATTTAATCTGAGATGATATCTTTACGTCCGCTGGGAATGCAACCTCAACACGGCTACTGACACAAATGTGTGTTTAGCGATAATAATGCTATATTTATATATTCAAAAGGTGATAAATGCTATTTACATATCTTTAAAAAACTCTAAAAAGAACCAGTCCTCCTGTCCCCCTCGCTGTCAGATATTTAAGTCAGAAAGATGTTTAATTTAATTTAATTTTTTACCAGAATCCTGTCTTCATGAAAGCCTGACGGTGCATCACACTCAGACAGTATTATTATCTGGAGCTGCAGAAACAACTTTCATCATAAAAGTCATAACGTTTAGTTTCTAAACACAGGTGGAAAAGGCCTTAAGCACGAACACGTCATCAACTCTGTGACTTTCAAATTCAATTCCACTTTTATTTGAACCTTTGTATTCACTGGAAATGCTGCTACAAATTCAAGTAAAAGATCAATAAAAACAAGGTTTTATTCGCTTAAAATCTGCCACTAAAACGAAATTTAGATAAATCAGGTCTTGTAAAGAGCTGGGAAATCTTATTGTGAACTATATTGATGTTATTTATGTTACAAAATAAGCCAGAAACGCTCAAAAGTTTTCTGTTTTCTGAAGTTCGCTGGTGATTTTAGAATAAAAATGTGTTTTCTAAAATCAAGTAAAATGTATTTCTTGAGAAAAGATGATCCTTCTTTTACAAATACTCAAAATAAGATGTTTTTAAGAGTCTTGAGGATACTTAAGATGCACCCTTTATCTCACTGCATTGTTACCTCTTAAGTTAGTGCAACCGACGGAACGTCCACACAGCAGCGTTAAAAAAATCTTGAAACGCTTCTGCCCATTCACTTTGAATGGGGTGACGTCACTTTGCCTCACTTTTCGCCGAAATGCATTGTGGGCAGGCGAGCGGAGATTTTGAGGATTTTGAGGATTCAAAGTTGAACAATGTTCAACTTTTGAGGCTGAGGTGGAAGCGGCAGCCAATCAAATCCCGTGTACGCAAATCTGACAGTTCAAGCTCTAGCCAATCAAACGGCGTGTATGCTGGGAGAGACATACCGCAGGTCATTTCCTCATATTCCAAAAAATGGAGGAGAAATTAGCGGTAGGGAATCAATCACCCGGTGCTTTATGATCAGACCTACCGGGATATAAACCGGAGGAGCCAGGCATGGAGGGAGGTGGCAGAGACAGTGGTAGGTTTTCGCCTGTTTGGGGAGTTTATATCCAGTTTACTTCGGGCTTTTTGGCTTCGTATGTCGGGGGCGAGAGATTCATGTGATTGGTTGTTCGCAAAAAATCCCCAAGCTTCAGATACGCCCACCTCCAACATTTTTTTAACGCTGCTGTGTAGACGTTCCGTCACAGAAGAACGTGTAATAGCTACGTTGGTCCACCGGGCAAAACGTAGTATATTCACAAATAACCTCTCAAGACGTGACATGGGTACAATATTTTGTAAAAAAAAACATGGAGCTCAAATCATCTTGGTAATATCTATCAAACTATGGATCCTACACATCCACTGGACGTAGGTTCTAAAAGTACAATATAAACTTCTCGCTAGAAATCTAATCAAAAAGCATTTTAACCAAACTATCCTTCAATTTAGGATTTTCTACTCAAAATAAATCGGGTGTCCGCCATGTTTTTTTCTCTCACGCTGGGAAAGTTTGCGATCACGTGACACGGACACCGGTCATTAGAAATGAATAGGAACACATATTGTATCCATGTCACGTCTTGAGAGGGTTATTTGTGAATATACTACGTCTTGCCCTGTGGACCAACGTAGCTATTTCACGTTTTTCTGTGAGACTGGGTTGGAAATTCTGACGAGGAATTAGACAAATATACCGTGTTGCCTTCCCATCAACGTGAACCTGTTGACTTTGTTTATAACATATAGTTTAAATAGTTTGCTGCACATTAAAGCGTCTCCTCTGGCTGATCTATCTGAGCTTTGCACAGCTTTTCCTCTGCGGGGAAACAGGAAGGATTATCAATGTGAGAACGAGAGCAAGAGGAACGATGATGATTGGATGTGTTCTGCATGGTGGAGCTGCAGATATCTGATTGGACATTCATTCCAGATTACCTGAGTACACTCTGATTGTAGAATACCTGAAGCGAGCCTCTGCACACATTTCTTTTCTTTAGACAGGGTTAAACAAGAGTCTAGTGGCCAGGATTGTGAACCCAGAAATGTTGAGTACAGGTCGACAGTCACTACAAACTGTAGGATAATGACGTGCATGTGTTGGGCAATTTGCACAATTAACATAAATTGTGTTATGCAGACAATAGCTACGACATGGCACGGCAGATTTAGACCATTTTAGAGTGATTTTGGAGGTTATTGAGGCCATTTCTGACGATTTCAGCGTCAGAAAGTGGCAGCATCTGTTCTCTCTGGGGACTGATTGTGACTAACATGAGTAGTGATGCGACCATTGGATATAGAGAGCACTAGATGAACATTATTATCTCTACTGTGGACACTTATCTGTGCCGTCCAAGTGATCCAGAGTCCCCTAAATCTTCCAAATCGACCCAAAATGTATCAGAATCAGTCTACCAGGAGCACAAATATGGCCTTTCTGGTTAAAATTATCTTTTTGGATCCTGAAAGAGCAAGAAATATCTGTATATCTGTCCTCTCTGCGGGCTGATTATGACTTATTATCTCAACTGTGGACTTTTTTTTTCAAATTAAATAAGCAACCGGTCCAAATAATCCCCTAAATCTTCAAAATTCACCCGAAATGTATCAAAATCAGTCCACCAGGAGCACAGATGTTGGAATGTTCTGGTTAAAACTGTCATTTAGGATCCTTAGATAGTAAGAAATGGGTTCAGCATCCTCAATAACCCCGAGAAACACTTAAAAACTGTCCAAATCAGCCAAGACATTTTGGCTAAAATGCTATTTAGTGCTAATTAATAAGCAATCTGTGCAATCCAAGTGATCCAGAGTCCCCTAAATCTTCCAAATAGACCCAAAGTTCATCAAAATCAGCCCAGAGTACAGATACGTCCACCTTCTGGTTCAAACTGTCTTTTTTTATCCTGAAAATGTTAGAAATTGACTCAATAACCCCAAAACCACTCTTAAACTGTCCAAATCGGCCAAGACATTCTCGCTATAATGCAACATAATGCTAATTGTCTAATAAATGACCCAACATATGCAGGTTGCTACCACTCCCCCTACTCTACATTTCTATCATAACACTTGGCAAACAGACCATAATATGACCTGGAAACAGAGTCCTGATAATACAGGGGGGTAAAACAAGCAGGACCTCCCATAGAGATATAATATGTGTATATATACATATATATATATATATATGTATATATATGTGTTTATGTATAGAGAGCTTATTCATACTGTGAATGTGGAAACTGAACACAACACATAATTTAAATCAGAAATATACTACCAGTTTAAAATGCATGCCCCCCCCTGCATGCCTCCCCCCCCTCCACTCCGTCCATCCCACTTGAACACAGTGGTTCCCAACCTTTTTTAGTATCGTTAAACCCCACTCACCTGTGAGGATTCACCTGCTTTCACTCGTGTGTTTAACCCTTTGTGATTGTGTTTTTTATTTATTATCGGAGTTCAGGATAATGTGTCCTTTCAATAAAGCTTTTTTGAATTACATCTGTGTGTGAGGGTGAGAGAGAGAGAGAGAGAGAGAGAGAGAGAGTGAGAGAAAGTGTGTGTGTGAAAGGGAGTGAGAGTGAGAGAGTGTGTGTTTGTGTGAAAGAGTGTGTGCATGTGTGTGTGTGAATGGGAGATAGATAGTAGGTGTGTGTGTGGGAGAGAGAGAAAGTGTGTGTGTGAAAGGGAGAGAGCGAGAAAGTGTGTGAACAGGAGGGAGAGAGAGAGAGAGAGAGAGAGAGAGAGAGAAAAAAATTCACGTCTAAATGTTTTTGTGTATGAAATAAATCCCTAATCTTTCTACGTCCCCCTAAAGAAACCCCCGGTTGGGAACCACTGCGTTTCTTCTTCTTCTTCTTCGTTGGTGTCTCTTCTTCTTCGTTGGTGTCATGCAGAGATAGAGGGGGGGGGGGGACAGTAAAGTCTCAGAGGCCTTTCTCAGCTGTCAGTGGGGGGGTCATCAGTCTCTGAGGGGGTTTCCTCCAGCTCTTCTGACACCTGATTGGCCCCCTGTAGCCCCGCCCCCTCCTCCTCATGTAGCCCCGCCCCCTCCTCCTGGGGGGCCGGGGGGGGGGAACGGGAGTCGAACCGGACAGAAAGCAGAACCCGTGGAGATGAAGTTCACTTTGTTCTTATCGGGGCAGGAGAAGAGGGGGGTCGCTGCTGAGGGGGGGGGCCGGGAGGAGCTGGGGGGAAACAACAATAACAATAATAATACATTTGATTTTTATAGCACTTTTCCGAGTGCTCAAAGATAAATACTAGTGTTTATATTGTATCTGTATTTTGATCTGTTTAACTGTAACGGTGCGTCGACACGGCAGCGTGCGTTGAAGCTTGCCGGTGGGCGTGTCTGAAACTCGACCAACAACCAATCACATGAATCTCCCGCCCCGGACACACAAGCACGCGGTTTGATTGGCTGGAGCTTGTACTGGCATATGATTTGATTGGCTGGCGCTTCTGTCAACGCTTGAAAAGTTGAACTTTTCTCAACTTTCGAAGCGAGCGACGGAGGCAAAGCGACACGACGGAACCACAATGCAGTTCGGCAAAGCGTGACGTCACCCCCTTCAAAGTGAATGGGAAGCGTCTCCGTTGAAGCACACGACGCTGCCGTGTGGACGGGCCGTTAGTGTGAAAGGCTTTAGAAAATGTTTGTAATGTTCGCTGTGTTGTGTGTTCCTGCAGATGGAAATTCGAGATTTTCAGGAAAAGAGAAAAAACTCAGAAATCTGAAATAATCTCAGATCTTTTTCATAAGATTTCATCCACATATCCTCAAATATTTTGCCTTTACGTAATATGGCGCTGACTGCCTGTGAACACATTTATCCCTACTGTTTATGTCTTAATGTGTGCACATGTATAATTGTGTCTGTTGATTGTGTATATATATATAGGTATACATATTTTTATATATATCTGTATTCTGTATTCCTCGGGATTGTGGGAAACGGTATTTTGATCTCTCTGTACACGAGTGGCGAACCGTCAGGGCCTTCAAGGTATTCAGAGAATACCCTGGAACATTCAGATAAAACAAACAAAAAATCGATTTAAATATATAAATAAAATGTATATAAAATGACTAAATGAGAATGGTATCTGTGTTGTTGATCTGTAATATTACAGTGTTACGTTGATTTGTTTGTCCTTCTCGGACCATGCACTACGCATTTCAGTGGTTTTGTGTTAGAAAAAAAAGCAACCAATCAGATCTTGTTCTGGGTCTCTGGGTAGAATATCCTTCAACCAGGTATTCTATATCCTTGATAGAATGCCCTGGCCCTTACACTGAATGAGAGCGTACATTTGGACTGACAGTTTGATCAACCAATCATATATTGATTTGTAGCCAATGGGCGTGTTCTTTCAGAGTTCCCCTCGGTTCCAGGTACTCTAGAAGGTACTCTAGAAGGCCCGCTAGTTCACTGGCTCGAGACAGAGGATCTAGATGAATGCCACGAAGCAATTCATGCCGTTTTATTGTTTTTAACGTTGAAAGGGCAAGTGCAACAGGTGAAGATGAAGATGTTCCGGAATTGTTGTGAGTACCCTTTTCAAGACGACAATTCAGTGTGTGTGTCTACAGAAGTTCCAGTTGTGATAGACACGGTTCGCCACTGCTGTACACACAAACTGAAAGATTGACATAAAGTTGATTTGACTTTGACTGCTGTGTTTAATAAAGGATCTGAAGTTTCCTCAGCGTTTACCTGCTCTCCTCGAAGGCCTTGATCTTCTCGCAGCCCTCCGGTGGTTCTCTCTTGAACATGTAGCTGTTGTTGGGTTTGGGAGAGGAGGCGAACTTAGGAAGAGGAGAACTGCTGCCGCTGTCTGAGGACATAGAGAGACAACGTTTACTCAATATAGAGAGACAACGTGTACACAAACTGAGACACTTCTGGACCAGTTTGGACCAGAAGTCCCCAGTATCAGACCGTCTGAAGAGGAGAAATGTGATCAGGAAGAAGGGAACGTTTTTAGATAAGAGCTATAAGTTAGAAAAGAGTGGAGAGTTCTTAAAGAGTGTGTACGTTTAAGAGCAACCTGGCTCTAACTGGTGGAAAAGCAACAGGTTCTCAAAAGGTGGAAACCAACTTCTAAAACAACACAGAAATCATTTGAGTGGAAAAGTTGACCCAGTGACCCGTTGACTTACCTTTGTCTCGGTCGTACAGCAGCTCCTCGGTGGAGTAGGGGCTGCCATCATGTGACCTGTCATGTGACCCGTGGGGGGGTCCGGGGGTCTGAGGGTCCGTGCTGCTGCGCTGCTGGGGGGGGAAGGGGGCGCGCCGCCCGTCAGGGACCTCCAGGGACTGAGAGAGAGAGAGAGGAAGTTATTGTTTTAAAGGTCTCCTATCATGCTGTTTTTAGGCATATATTATAGGTCTCAGATATATACAAATATATAAAAAACATGTCTACGAAGTGTTTTGCTCAAAATATCAAACAGATCACCCCCCTCTATTTCAGCTGTTACTAAAGTGATGATTCTGGGTCTGTAGCTTTAAAAAGAAAGAAAGAGGGGGGAGCTTATGTTCTACCAGCAGATGCAGATAAACGCTGCCGTGGGACTGAAGAGAGGCAGTTACTGTGTTAGAGGTCCCCTGTCATGCAAAATGCACTTTCTGATGTCTTCTCTACATCACCATGTGTCCCCGGTGTGTCCCCGGTGTGTCCCCGGTGTGTGTCCGGTGTGTCCCCCGTGTGTCCCCGGTGTGTGTCCGGTGTGTGTCCGGTGTGTGTCCGGTGTGTGTCCGGTGTGTGTCCGGTGTGTCAGGAGACTCACAAAGTGTCAGGAAATAAAACCCTCTCTCTTTTCCTCCGTACCCACATCTCTAAAAACGGGGGAACAACGGAGCTGATCCAGATTTGCTGCGTCATGACCACATTACTAAACATTACTAACATGTGGGCGGGCTTTACACCCACGGGCCAATCAGAAACGTTGCTGTCAGAAACAATGAGACGTGTTCTGGAAGTAATATGGTCTGTGTTTACATTAGCATGCTAACACTCAGAGCTAACTTAGAGCGGGTGCTGTCACCATGTGGTGAAAGGAGGAATTACATTAAAACAATGTATTCTGTTTAACAGGGCCGCAAATAATACGTTATAAGACCCAAGCTACGCCCGGACTTTGGACATGCCTGTATTAAATAACTTCAGCGCAACAACACTGACGCTGCAGGGAGCGTGGGTATTTCTTATGTATATTGCATTATTTTAAAACAATAATAAAGTATTCTGCCTCTCCTCCTGTGTCTCTTCAGTCCCTGGAGCTCAGAGAATTCTCCTGATGAGCTCTCCTCTCTTATTTATTTTAAAGCTTTAGACCCAGAATCATCTCTTCAGTAACAGCTGGAATAATAGAGGGGTTTGAGGCTTCAATGATCTGTTTGGTATCTTGAGCAAAACACATCAGAGACATGTTTTTAATACATTTTTATATATCTGAGACTTATAATATATTCCTAAAAATAGTATAATAGGAGACCTTTAATATACATACAGACCCCCGCTCCCAGCGTCAGTCCTGTTGCCCTGATGTTATTTAATATGTGATAATAAAGCAGAGCCCCACCTTGAGCTCCTCTTTGTCCCCGCTCTCCCGGATGAAGACCTTCTCCAGCTCGTGGTTGATCCCCTCCATGCTGCTGGGGACTCTGGAGATCGAGGGCTTCGGCACGGTGGAGAGCGGCATCTGGGCCATGGAGACCTGCTGCTGCAACACACACACACACACACACACACACACACACACACACACACACACACACACACACACACACACACACACACACACACACACACACACACACACACACACACACACACACACACACACACACACACACACACACACACACACACACACACACACACACACACACACACACACACACACACACACTTATTTTAACACAAATAACAGTGTCTAACCAGACGATGATGGAGACAGTTACGTCAAATAAAATAAACAACTTAAACTCAGAATTTCTCTGCAGTGCAGCGGTCAAAAAAGACGTTTGGCTTCACACCCAAAATGAACACAGAGTATCGTCAGCTGGACTCTTTCGTACCAGCTGAGGCAATCACAGTGACAATTCATTGATATTAATTAACAACCTATTCCATTACATAACCAATATTCAATATTTTGCGTATAAATTAAATAATCAAATGGTAAATCAACATTTTGGCTCCTATAGTAAACATGATATGCAAACCCCTTTGAGTATGAAGTTGCAATGCCATCTTTCGTACACCATAACTCATCATTTGCATGTGAATCAGATGGTGTTTGGGACATAAAGCAGAAATCTTGTTGCCATTGTTGGAGCTTTTTGGAAGTGTGACTCTGATCATCCCTGAGACATATGGAGCATTTAGGAAGCTTGAGTTACAGCTTCCTCTTTTACGCTTTTTTCTCCACCACGCCACATCGAGAGTGTTCAATGTAATAAAGCTTTTAATAAATGTTGACCCTTAAAGTCTTCTAATGGTTGAGAAGAAATGTGGAGTTGATCGGGTGAAATCTGTAGGAGGAGTTTGTTAATGTACGGCACGTGAAAAGTGTCAAAAATAGCACATACAATTCTAAATGCCCGACTTCCTGTTGGGTTTATGATATGACCCTGAGAGGCTTTTCTGTGCGTCTCACCATTCTACATAGACCTGCCAAATGTCAGACCTGTAGGTGAAACCACAACAAGGGGCTGAACTTTAGCAACTTTATAGGGGACGCTATAATGTTTTTTGCCAACACCTCAAAAACGAGACCACTAAAATATAGAAGACTGACAGGAAATCTAATTACCGACTGTCTCCTAATTAACTTTCACTGTTTCTATTTTCAACCTAGCTAGCTACAGATACACCTTTTACTTATATACACATTTTAATGATTGTAATGCTATTCAAATATTGGTTCAACTGCACACAAGCTGCATCCTCTAAACAGATTTGTTTTTACAAACAGATGAAACTCCTCTCCTCACTCAGGTGTGTGCTTCAGTAAATGTTAACTCTTACCTGTGTGTGTCAGGCTGTGCAGGTGTGTTGGGTGTGCAGAGAGATGAAGGAGTTCCCAGTCTAATACTGTACACTGGAGGACATGTCTAAACATGTTCCCTCACACACTCCTCACACACACTCCTTAGGAACACACACATGAATGCCCGCTCTGTCTCATACACACTCTCTCGTTATCAGATCTCTCTCTGAACCAGTTCCTGTTTCCCTCACACACTCCTCAGGGTTTTCTGCAGCAGACACACACCTCTGACATCAAACAGAGAGCGTGTGTGTGTGGTGTGTGTGTGTGTGTGTGTGTGTGTGTGTGTGTGTGTGTGTGTGTGTGTGTGTGTGTGTGTGTGTGTGTGTGTGTGTGTGTGTGTGTGTGTGTGTGTGGCCTCAGCCCAGTATTTTACATGGTGGTACTTTAAATAAGTTAAACACACGAATAAGATCAGACCGAAATATATATAGCAAGTATCACATATTCAGATAAGTGTGTGTGTGTGTGTGTGTGTGTGTGTGTGTGTGTGTGTGTGTGTGTGTGTGTGTGTGTGTGTGTGGTGACACAGCTGTTAAATGTAGTGTTAAAGAGTGTGTGTAAAGATGTCACTAGAAGCGATAAGTCGATGCCAAAATTCTGAAGCAATGTGACCGTACTGGTTTTTCTTATCAAGTTAAAAATAATTCATGACGTCCCAAATCTATTTATATTGCTGTGAAACATCTCCTCGAAAAACAACCAGATTTATTCAACTGAATACAAACTGATTATAACAAATGTTAACTATATATATAAATAAATAATAAGGATAACATTAAAATAAGAATCAAATATTAAAACAGATAATACAAATATTCAATATTAAATAATAATAATAATAAACAAATCATTTAAAAAATATGAAACATACAAAATATATGTATACTGTATATACAGCACACAAAATGTATTTAACATCAATGAAGCCTACCCTAACCTGAGGGTCAGGGTCCATGCACGGCCCCTCCTGCTAGAATGATAACATATAATGCACTGAGTGAAGAAATAATTAAGGAATCAACACCAATGCAATATTTCTACCGATACGTCAGTATGACCCCACCAGTCCTCTGCAGAGTAAAACACTTTGTCTTTCTGTGACTAGCCACCTGCAGCTTACCGTATGTAAACAAAAGGTAAGATAAGAAGTACTTTATTGATCCCAATTTGTACAAAGGTGTGTGTGTTACCTGTGTGGATTTCTCTCTCAGACACGATGGGGGTCCGGAGGCCACGGCCCGGCTTCAGAGCCCAGAAGAGATGCAGGGATTCAGTCCTTTCCGCTGCGGAGGAGAGACCAGGAAGAGACGTTAGCTCGGAGTGTTAGCGACAGAGAGTTAGCCTCTGAACCTGCCGCTGTACGCAGGAGTTTTTGGTTCATTTCAAGCTTCAAACTGCACTATGCTGGAGGAGCCAAAAGGTTGATTTACTATTTGATTATTTAATCGTTTAATTATGTGTAAAATATTGAATATTGGTTACGTAATGGAATAGGTTGTTCATTAATGTCAATGAATTGTCACTGTGCCTCAGCTGGTACAAAAGAGTCCAGCTCACGATACTCTGAGTTCATTTTGGTTGTGAAGCCAAACGGTTTTTTTTAACCGCTGCACTGCAGAGACATTATGAGTTTAAGATGTTTCTTTTATTTGCTGTAACTGTCTCCATCATCGTCTGGTTAGACACTTTTATTTGTGTTTAAAAGAAGAGAACAGGGAAGAAAAGACATTTAAAGGATAACATTGAAATAAATGAACCGAATCAAACAAACAATCTCTCTCTGTGTGGTGTGTGTGTGTGTGTGTGTGTGTGTGTGTGTGTGTGTGTGTGTGTGTGTGTGTGTGTGTGTGTGTGTGCGCGTGTGTGTGTGAGGCCAGGCGCAAAACCAAAGGACAGAAAGGAGCAAAAACGAAGTGGGAAAGATTGCTCTCTTACGCACGTTAGCTCAGTTTAATAATAACTCTAATACTGGGAGAGAAATAGCATCTAACAGCTGCATCTCTTTGTAGCCTTTAGCTTAGTTTGGCTTTTTATTTTGTGCATTTCAAGCTTTTAACAGTGCAGATAAACACACAAGAAAGAGACGTTAGCTGAATGAAATAGCAACACTAATAACGACAGATTATCAGCCCCTGAATCTGCTGATCTACGCAGCAGCTTCCTTCTTTTGTGGGACAGATTAAAGAGGCCCTATTCTGCTTTTTGAGGTGTAGTTTGTTCTATAGGTTTTAGTGCATGTCAATGGTCTGCAGAGGCTAAAATCAATGTGTTTTCTCTGAGCGTTTGCGCGTAATGCCTCTTCCGGACTGCAGTGATCTGGTGTGTTCTGGTCTTAGTGAATCCTGTTAGAGCAGCAGGGGGTCCGGGTCACTCTCAGGATGACAGACAGAGACTGAATTAGACCTGGACGTCATCTTCTGATCCACATGGCAGCTCCTCTATAGAAGGACCCTTCTTTGTTTACATATATACATTCGTTCCTGTACATATCATATTCTATTTACATTTTGTATTTTTGAATTTTATTATATATGTTGCATCGTTGAAAGAGCTCAGGTCAGAAAGAAAGAGACGGTTATTCTCTCCATTACAAAGATTTCATAAATGATATCGTACCAATCCTCTATCGATGGGCTGTTTGGGTTGAGACATTTCTTTGTGATTGATGTCCTCGCAGCGTCACTCAACATCCCAAACAAGTATTCAGTTTTAATACGTGTGGATGTTGGGTGCAGAAGGACCCTTCTATAATCTACAATAACTAACGATATGATATAAAACCTCTGCAGCGTTTCCTCCCGTGTGTGTGAATCACAGGCCTCGTGTGAATTATGTAACCGCAGTGTGTGTGTGTGTGTGTGTGTGTGTGTGTGTGTGTGTGTGTGTGTGTGTGTGTGTGTGTGTGTTAAAGTCACTCAGATCTGAGTTTCTGTATCTTTTCTACATTTGATTGATGCTGAAAAACCTCTGTGGGATAACAAGGTCACCCGGCAGTCATGTGACCTCCTCAAACCACACAGAAACACTCATACATAATTCACCTGGCGCTATTTAAAGGAGCTTTTCACACATTTGAGCATCTCGTTTCTACATTCAGAGTCACTGTGGGGCGCTTCATGTTACACTGCATTTATTCTCCTCACAACGACACAATAAGTGAGAGGTTTATAGTTATCAGGGTTGATTTAAAGCATGTTATAACACTGTGTACAGAACGTTTAGCTACCTTCTCTCAGGTGATATTGTTTTGGATGTGTAGGGGAAGAAGAAACAGAAGAAGAAGATGGACTATATCAATATTCAATTACAATATCATGTTATACACCTAGCATTAGCATAAGTCTGGCATTTAAATCAACAACATTTCTCAACTCAATATATTTCCTGAGTCACAGATTTGGGTTAAAGTTAAATACCAGCGATTCCCTCAGAAATACTTAACTAGCTGTGAGATGTAAACAGTGAATAATAAGATCCATTTGATCCGTAATGTCTGAGACGGCTAGTGCATCTATCTGCCTGTGTGTGTGTGTGTGTGTGTGTGTGTGTGTGTGTGTGTGTGTGTGTGTGTGTGTGTGTGTGTGTGTGTGTGTGTGTGTGTGTGTGTGTGTTTATTGGTATTGGCATGTGTCCAGAACACCCTGCTCTGTGCCACCCTCGCCTGATTCATGCTCCACCTTGAGCACCCTGATTAAAACACCCTGAACACACAACTGCAATGATACCTAAACATGCATATTATTATATATTAAATGAACTAAAAGGCTTATTATCATTCACAGAAACATGCAGTAGTGACGTAGCAGACACACACATGTTGTTTGTTGCAGAAACAGTACAGATAATGTCGTGTATTCATGTTACAATAACTAGTTACATCAACAAAAGTAATCAGTGACCTAATATAAACCCAAAATAGAAATGTAATGTAACCTGGTAGTGCGACAGTGAAAGGAGTCCCCTGGGGAGGTATTTAAATGTGCACTCCCCACTGATCAGGTGGTTCAGCCCTATCACCTGATGCCTCTCTGTTACTTTTGGATTACCTCAATATCAAATGCAATGCAAATAAAAACAAGAGAAAGTAAAACAATAGGATGTTTTTTACTGAAGTGTGTGTAACAACGTAACCTTAGAAAAGTAGAAACCAAGATATTTCATATTCAAAATGTAGTAACAGTTCATTAAAAGCTAAATCTATTTTTCATTAATAAATCACGCGTCGACCCACTGCGTTATTTAAATAAAGAATAATTAAAATACTAAACCACATCCATCTATATTTCTAAATGTATTCTAACATTGTAATCCTGATAGTAATCTCAATTACACGGTAATCTGATTACTTATTTTTGTATGTAATTGTAATTGAATACAGTTACCTTTCTTATGTACCCTGATTATATAATCACATGTAATCTATTACTCCCAAAGCCTTCATGCATATTATATATATTTAAAGCATTCACAGAAACATGCAGTAATGACTAGCAGGCAGACACATGTTATTTGTTGGATTTACTACAGATAATATTGTGTATTTGTACAGGGAGATGTATATTCTGTGTATAATAGGTAGTATTGTACATGCAGTTGCAGGGAATGGCCTGCTGTGTTTATCTCTGCTAGGCCTCAGTGTTGCCATAGAGCTGCCAGCTGACGACATATCCCCCTTTAATGGAGGTAAAGAGCCCCAAATGAACGAATTACCAACAACCTGTCAGTGTTTTCATGGCAGATTCTGCACATCTGGATAATGATCCGGATCACTGAGCCCTGAGTTGTTAGTATCTGACAGAGGAGCTGCATCATCAGGCATCCATACCCTCACATATGTACCTGGGCTAGGATAGTGCAACGTAATAACAAATGCATGCACTTATCCTGCTCGAATCGCCATTATAGCATCAATAATACACCCAAAACACCCTGAATTGAGGTGTGCTAAATAACATTTTGCAGATATTATGATGGAAACTGGAACATGGTTGCGGGCTATGACAGTAGGCTATATTATGTAATGCATGATTATAATATTCATTCTCAGTGTTATTGATGGTCCACTGGTAAGATCCCTGATGTATTATGACCTAATTATAAAGGAAAGACAATTAGCCTAACACGACATGGGAGGTAATATCGAAATGCTCGCTAAATTGAATCCTGCTCTGGAAAACTTCGTTTTAAGGTGGACTTGGTAATTGCAAAGTTATATAAGCTTAATAAAAAGAACACATCCTTTATGTGAATGAATACACTCTACTTTACAATTCGGCGTACATTATATTTCCAAACATGCCCTACTTCTTTTTAAATGTCATTTTTTGAGCTGCTTCAGCCCTTATTTCCACTAGCTTCCTCCGACCAAAACACAACGTGGCGCCTGATGACGGATGGTGGGGAAACTGCTAAATATGGGATTTTATATTATTATAATGTTTTATAGTAAACTAAACACACCCCGAATTTAAGAAAGACTTGTATTTGATCATAAACAATAAGTAAAGTATATATTTAAAGCACCTATAGTGTTAAATTATTGCAAAATGGTGAAATTGTCACATTTGTTAAGGTAGTTTGGTGAAGCTTTGCTACATACAACACATACGACACTAAATTAGCACCAAGCTATTTAAACCACAATGGTTGCATTTTTAGATGAATGTGCATACAGTTACCTTTGCGAACAGAAGAGCAGGGGGGGGTGTTCAGGCGATGCAGCTATCCGGCGGAGAGAGCCTCTGCCCGGGCACCAGCCTGCTGTCAGATAACAGCAGCGGAGGATCCAGGAAGAGGAGGGAGAAGTACTCAGGTAGTAAAGTACAAGTAGCTACTCAGATCTGGTAGTAAAGTATAAGTACTCAGATCATGTAGTAAAAGTACAAGTTCTCAGATCTTATACTTGAGTAAAAGTACTCAGATCATGTAGTAAAGGTAGAAGTAGAAAAAAGTAAAAGTACTCAGATCTTGTAGTAAAAGTAGAAGTACTCCGATCTTGTACTTGAGTAAAAGTAGAAGTACTCAGATTGTGTACTTGAGTATGTTTTGCTTACATGATATTTAAGTGTAACATATGAAGTGTATATAATATATGGTGTTATTTTTATGCAAACATGTTGTAAATTTAAGACCGGTAAGACACTAGTGTAAATAGTAAGGTTGTGTCCACTGACAGAATAAAAACAGACATTAAAGACGGTTCAACCTTTTTTTATTAGTACTTCATCCTAAAAGACCATTAAATGGGGACTGGCTGTTTATTAAAGGCACATCAGGTTTGTTTATGTACAAACAATCCAAAGGTATAGACAAGTCCTGGGTTAAATCATCACCAAATGCATTCTTCTACTTAGCAAAAACTAGTTTTAAAAGCTCATATGCACACACTTATTCAAAAGAAAACACCCGTGGTATTCATGTACTGCACATACACACATGCAGAAGTGATGTGTCCTGTGCTTTTACAGCATTTCACAGCAATACAACAGAAGAGATTGTTACTTGGTTGATGAAAGTACCATCATTTCTCAAAGAATCAAAGAGAACATACAGAGGCTGTGCAATAACAACGCCCGCAGAAACTTGAACTACTTTCACTAGAACTGCTCTTTTAAAGTCAGGATAATGTCGGTTTACCTGCAGTCCTTCCATCAGTATAACAACAGAGTTACGTCATACTAGTTTGACTTCATTATTTCAGTGGCTTACAAGAGGACAGGTTGGAGTTTTTGACAATTGAAACTAGGACATCACAAGGGTCCGTATGTTTGTTGTTTTACTGCGTTTCTTACATTAATATGAATTTATCAAGACAGCAGGTAAACATGTACTTGGTCTCTATTAAGGTGAATAAAGTCTCAGCTCTTAAAGAATTACAATAAGTGATTTTTCCCAGACACTTAAAACACAACCAAAAGCAAAACACACCTCACACACAGCATCCATTAACACACACACACACTTATTAAAGGGTTTCAAACGTATCTTTGATTAAATGTAAACATGGATCCTCTGACGGCGAGAACAGGGCGATGTCTGCAGGAGTAACACGTGCAGACACTAAAGAACGATTTGGTGGTTTGATATAAACGAGTGCCACGAACCCAGGTAAACTACTGGATAAAGCAATGGACAAATGAAAGGAAGCAGAACTCAAACATGGAGAGGATTTGATTCAAAAAGTGTTTCCTATGTCAAATATATATAAATTGCACAAGAGCTCGTCAGTAAAAGCAGTTCCCTACATGCTGCACATGAATAGATATTGGATTATTATTTCTGTCCCTTATTTACTGCAGACTGTGTTTAATGACATGGGAAGGAGTTTGTTGTCACTAAGATTTAATTACAGTTATTGCTTTAAGTGCAACGTCCTTAAATGACCTGATGACTTTTGCAGGGACATTTCTTAATTTGTCCGTAGTTTGTAGACCAGCGTCTTGTTTTAACTTCCACCTACAGCACTACGAGTTATCACGACGTCTGAATCCAAGATACTGCAAATATTGGTGCTTCCACAAAACAAAATAGATAATCCTTTGCCATGTGGTTAATAACAGAAAGCAGACCTTGAAACCACGGAAAGACACTCATTCAAATTCTTTTTTTAAAGTCAGAATTCTTTTTTTTATAATCCCTTTTTTTTTTTTTTTAAATCGGAATTTTTAAAGATTTTTATACTTCCTGTGCTGCAGCACCTCTTTTCACCCTCTGTCTGAAACCAGAGCCCAGACTGCTCTGATTGGTTAGCTGGCCGGCTCTGATGTGATTGGTCAACAGCTTAGAGATGTCCCGCCTCTTAGCCTATCACGTACAATGTGTTGAAGCGCTATCAATGTCACTATAGGCTCAGCATCACAGGGATTTGAGCCTCTGCAGACCATTTACATGCACTAACAGCTATAGGACACTAGAGGAAAAGGGACAGCAGAAAGACAGGGTAATGACTCTTTAAATCAAAGTGTTTTCCCCTGACATAGTGAGCAGACTAGGCGTTGTGCAGCACGGAGTTCTCCAGGCTGAAGTCGTACTGGAAGCTGCTCAGGTTGTAGCTCAGCTCTGGGTCCAGCAGCAGGTCTGGGATCAGCTGCAGGCTGGACATCACTGTGAGGACGTGAGGAGACAGAGAGAAGGGGACGTCCTCCAGGAGGTCTGGCAGGACGGAGGAAGACTCCCCCACTGAGGAAGAGGAGGAGGGGGGAGGAAGAGGAGGAGGGGGGGCGGGACGCTTTATATCAGAGGCGAGAGAGGGGTACGGACAGGAGGCCTGAGGAGGAAGAGGAGGAAGAGGAGAGAGAGGAGGGTTTCATTATCACGGGGGAAACTGAGAGTCGCTCCATTTTATGATTAAAGAATGATACAAATAAATATATGCATGTTTTTATAAAAGTACAAGTTAGAGCAAAAAGATAAACATTAAATACAAATATTTATTTAAACATAAAAAGTATTTGAGGTTAAATAAAATAAAATACAGAAAATAATAATATGTTTAGAAACATGGGAATGTGAAAATGTCTCACTGAAGGAGAGGGTTCAGGGGCAGGAGGAAGAGGAGGAAGATGAGGAGGAGGACGAAGAGGAGGAAGAGGAAGAGGAGGGGCGGGACGCTTTACCTCAGAGGGGAGAGAGGGGTACGGACAGGAGGACTGAGGAGGAAGAGGAGGAGGAAGAAGAGGAAGAGGAAGAGGAGGAGGAGGACGAAGAGGAGGAAGAGGAAGAGGAGGGGCGGGACGCTTTACCTCAGAGGGGAGAGAGGGGTACGGACAGGAGGACTGAGGAGGAGGAAGAGGAGGAAGAGGAGAGAGAGAAAGGGTTTAATTATCACGAAGGAACTGTGAAAGTTACTCCATTTTATAATTAAAGAATGATAAAATAAAATAAAAAGAGAAATATAAAATAAAATGTACAATACAAAATATTTTATAGGATAGTTTGTTAAATATTGAACACTTAGAAATCTCCACATGAGATTAATATGAACTCTTTATTGAGACCTCACCTTGGGCGGCTGCACGATGACGTACCCTGAAGACGGCTGAGCGATGTTCGGACTCTGAATCTTCCCCCTCTGCTCCTCCAGCGTCTCTCCTGGCAGCCAGAGGACAGCGTTAATCACAAGAGACTACAATCACAATCAGTCACAGTAAGTGTGGGGGAAACTTCTGAAGCAATGGGAGTCAGGACTCAGAGAGGCACGAGGAGAGCTGGAGCTTTGATAGCAAACACTGACGGTTTATTTGGAGCTTCGGCCGGAGAATTCACACGACATGTCACGAGCCACGGTCTGACCACACGGTTGAGATGCCAAATCAATTCTGAGGGTTCTCCTCTCTGGTAGGAGGTTTTAACTAGTTTGCAAAGGGGAACATTCTTCACTAGATAGACTAAACAGCTGAGGACACTGAATTGCTTGCAGTTGTCGCTTATGGCCTCGAAGATTTCACACCTTGGGGTCATCTACACTCCGAGAAGGAAGTGTTCCAGGTGTCCCACAACAATGACTATCTCTGACTGAGAGCTGCCCGGTCACAAACTGGTAACAACAACAACTTGCCAGGGCAGCCCCTCCTTAAGGGAGATAACAGCTGCTCAAGGTTGGGCATCTGCGTCAGAGGGCGAAGGAGGACACTAGGGCCAATTATTCCCTAACAGTAAATACAACAAATATTGTAGGAGCACAGAAACAGAGTTCTGCTTTTACAGACTTACTTTGGTTGTGTTTCTGTAACTCTGGCACAAACATTTCCTTTGGGATAAATACAGTCTTATCTTATCTTATCTTATCTTATCTTATCTTAATATGGATTAAACACAGGAATCGTCACCTTATTTTTACACTTTTTATGTAATGACCTTAGTTACCTTAAGCTTACCTTTAAAGGCAAACATTTAAATAAAAATAAAATGTCAATAATGTCCGTAACGGTACTTTGTTCAAAATACAAACTTGTTTTTTACTCGTTCATTTTGTTACGTCAGAGGAAAAGAAATAAAATAATAAATAAATACATATTATTATAATAATATATACAATTTAAAAAACTGTCGAAATACTTATTAAATTAAATCGAATAAATCCTAAATTGTAAGTAAAAGGCATTTTAGTATACTTACCGACATCTCTCTATCATTAGGAGCCATAATATATAAAACACACCTCCAAAAGGTTCCTCTTCAGATCTGCTGTATACAAACTGATATGTAGTGCCAAGAGTATTTCATTTAATATCATAAAACATTTATTTTCTCACCAACGATGACGAAGCCTCCGTCGGCTTCCTTCTCTGACGGAGATTTCTTTGACTCCTTACGGAGTCCCAAGAAACTCAACATGATGCTCCTCTGAGTCTGAAACACAACATGGAGGTTAGTCTGAAACACAACATGGAGGTTAGTCTGAAACACAACATGGAGGTTAGTCTGAAACACAACATGGAGGTTAGTCTGAAACACAACATGGAGGTTAGTCTGAAACACAACATGGAGGTTAGTCTGAAACACAACATGGAGGTTAGTCTGAAACACAACATGGAGGTTAGTCTGAAACACAACATGGAGGTTAGTCTGAAACACAACATGGAGGTTAGTCTGAAACACAACATGGAGGTTAGTCTGAAACACAACATGGAGGTTAGTCTGAAACACAACATGGAGGTTAGTCTGAAACACAACATGGAGGTTAGACTGAAACACAACATGGAGGTTAGACTGAAACACAACATGGAGGTTAGTCTGAAACACAACATGGAGGTTAGACTGAAACTCATTCATCTGGTTAGTGAATCATTCTGGTGTTTGAGATCAAGTTCAGGTCTGAAGACAGAAAGGCTCTTCTTCAGGAGATATGATCGATTATTATTTATAGGTAAAAGTAGAAGTACTCAGATCTTGTACTTGAGTAAAAGTAGAAGTACTCAGATCTTGTACTTGAGTAAAAGTAGAAGTACTCAGATCTTGTACTTGAGTAAAAGTAGAAGTACTCAGATCTTGTACTTGAGTAAAAGTAGAAGTACTCAGATCTTGTCCTTGAGTAAAAGTAGAAGTACTCAGATCTTGTCCTTGAGTAAAAGTAGAAGTACTCAGATCTTGTCCTTGAGTAAAAGTAGAAGTACTCAGATCTTGTAGTAAAAGTAGAAGTACGCAGGTCTTGTACTTGAGTAAAAGTAGAAGTACTCAGATCTTGTACTTGAGTAAAAGTAGAAGTACCAGAGTGTAGGAATACTCTGTTTCAGTGAAAGTCCTGCATTCAAAATGTTCCTCAAGTGAAAGTAGAAAAGTATTATCATCAAAATCTAGTGAAAGTAGCGACAGTAAAAGTAGTCATTGTGCAGATTGGTCCATTTCAGAATAATATATATGATATGTTTTATAATGATTGATCATTAAAGTGTTATCAAAGCTGGTAAAGGTGCAGCTAGTTTGAATGACTTTGTATACTGCAGGGTAGCTTGTGAATTTACTCCAGGTGGAACTAAAGTCTGATTTAACACTTGATTATATTTCACATCATTCATCCACATCTGTAAAGCAACTAAAGGTATTAAATACATGTAGTGGAGGAAAAGTACACAGTAACATAACATTTAAATACTCAAGTGAAGTACAAGTACCTCTAAGTTGTACTGAAGTACGGAGTAAATCTTTCTAGTTATCGAAACTAGTTTTAACAACAAAGACAAATGAATTCCTCTTAAAGTCAAAACGTCTTACTTTCAGTTCTTCTCTCTAACTTCAGAATCTCATGTTTCTGTTTCTTTGAATCCACGAAGTTCAGAAGAGTTATTTTAACAAAATAAACCCCGATATATTTTCCGTTTCTTTTTACAGGCAAGTTGTTGTTATGACACCGACGTGCCTGACCTTCCGTGTTCGTGTAGAAACAACAGTGCTACATACAGTTCCGCTTACAGATCCAGCTCTATGTTACAAGAAGCGCGACTTTATTATTATTATTATTATTTATAAACGGTATTAACCAAGAGTCATTTACAAACCTGTAATGCCCTTTATTTCAGTCAGTTCTAATGGTGCAAATCAGTATGATAAAACAAATTAAATAACCCTATTAATGCTGTGTCCTTGTGATAAACGTGGTTTGATTGCTTGTTTTTAATTGGATGTGTTATCTGATTTGTTTACCTTTGTTAAGGGTCTTTGAACACATGATAAATAAAATGTATTAATGTTATTATTATCACAATAATACAGCGGAACTAATTACTGGTGATCCCGGGGAACAACATGTAAGAGCACAGCGGATATGTCGTCAAAAGACGCTCGATTTTATCTCCAGCGTTTCCCGTCATTACAAGCAAACCGTTTTCGAATGTAGATAATTAAACCCCACCCGGGTAGAATAACACGTGACAACAAACCGAACGAACTTTACATTTCCCGCGCAGTATTGTCTCGTCTTGACTCCTTCAGTGAACAGCTTCAAAATGGCAGGAATATTTGACGTCCCGAAACCCAGAATAATCTGCTCTATGTTGTCTCAGAACATCAACAAACCCGTCTGCTTCGTCGGTCGTGTGGAAAAGGTCGGTATGAGTTTATAACAGTGGAGTTAAAAAGTTGTTTTAACGGTTAAAACATGGATTAACGTGTTGGTTTTCCCGCCATGTTAGGTCCACCCGTCGGGGAAGACGTTCACAGTCTGTGATGGAGAAGGGAAGACAGCCACTGTGGAGCTGAATGATCCTGTGAGTACTCCTATTATTACTTTACTTTAACTAATGTCACTATCAGGTGTTACATAGTATATTTACAGGTCTTTCTACATCATTAGGAGCCACACTTTAGCCCATAATATACAGAAAAACACCAGGTTCTTCACTACTTCTGTCTGTCACTCATCTGCTGCATAAACACTGAATATCATCCTATTCTTATATTGTGAAAGCTGTAATTTAAGATAAAACTACATCCCATGTTTTCATATTCAGCATATATTGATGTCATGTCTTAATCTTTGGACATTTTAACAATATTTAATCGTTAAAACCTCTTAAAATAAAGTTTTTTTTGGAAGTTAGTGTAGTGTCTCTGTGTCAGAACAGTCATACCATTGATTAACACTGAAAAATAAATGTGTACAGAAGCGTTTTAATGATTTTATTTGGCTAGAAGTTCCTGTTATTTGACATTATTTAAGATGCAATGTCCTCCTATTTTATGTTGATAATATTAATAAAGCTGTATTTGTATTGCACTTTTTATACAATAGGTGCGAAGTGCAACAAAAATGAGGAATTCAAAAATATAAATGTATATGTTTGGAAAAGATAGGAGAAAAAAAGACAACAAATAAATGTAATGTTTGCTAGAAAATAATAGTACAAATAATTCTGATTTAAAAAATAAGGCTGATTTTAAGAGATTTCAGAATTAATATTTTGAGACAAGTCAAAATAAAAATGAATCTGACTTCTTCTCATTTTTTTCGGATCCTTTTCGTTTCAAATTTGAATTTTCCCATAAATACAAAATTGTTCAGAAAAAATATCAGATTTGTGAGAAAGAAAGATAAACAAAAAAATTATAACTGTTTTCAGAAATGGACTTCCTTCAGAATTATGAGACATGTTTTTGATTTGCTGTTGAAGTTTTTAAATTAAACTGAGAAAAAATTTGAAAAGTAAAAAATAAAATCCCAGATAAGATATTCAGGTTCAAACCTTTTTGCACACATGCAGCTTCTGAATATAATATTACATTTCTAGGAAGGAGGTAAAAAAGGTTCGATAATAAACAAATACAAAATGATCCAATAATGTACGACAGAAAAAAAACTGTCAACTTTTATATTTCCTTCTCTTTTACTTCTGTTTGTGTTATATTTTGGATTTAACCTTTATTAATCCCTGTGGGGAAACTCAGTAGTTTAACAGCAACAGGCTGAGAATGAAGAACAGGACAGTCACACAGATTAGAGATTAATACAATTAAAGATACAAATACAATTAAATACAGTTAAGTAACTTTAAAATAAGAAATTCAACATATATACATATTTGGGTCATACATACCAAATATGTATATATGTTGATTAACCTATTCGGGTGGCCCACGCATCCACCCCCCCCCTCAAATAAGAAAATACGTGCGAGTTCATGGCTACTGTAGACAACGTTCTCGTCGCTCTGTGTTGCGTTGTTAATGAGTGAGACACACCGGAGTTGAGGATCTGTGGGGTTTATTCTCCCAAAAATATAATTTACAATTCAGGCATTTAGCAGACGCCTTATTCCAAAGCGATTACAGTGACCAACAGGGACATTCTCCCTGGAGTAACTGAGCGCTAAGTGCCTTACTCAAGGGCACACTAGTAGTGGTGTTCCAGGCGGGATTTGAACTCGCAACCTTCCGATCATCAGCCCACCTCACTAGGGATGGGTATCGTTAAGGTTTTAACGGTACTACTACTTTTATCGATACCGCTTATCGGTCCGGTCTTTTAACGGTACTCTCATCGGTTCTTTTGGAGAGAAAAATGAGGTAAACTAACTATATGTTGTATGTCAGGGACTACGGATGGAAATTAGCTCAAAGCTAAAATCCGGCATATTTACACTTGAAGCATTATTTGTCTAAAGTGTTCATTAATGTGTATCGTCCCTATTCACATAAATGAAAAATGAAAATAAACAAATTGTGAACAAAACTAACATCGCTTTTTATTTAAATTAAATACATAATATTTCACATCAAAAGAAACAACAACGTTTTAACAAATCATATTAAATAATCTGATGACAGAACTGTAAACAGAATAGCTGAAACTTTAACAAGGTCAAGGTTCAAGGTTCTTTATTTAGTCATACGAACATAGCTACAGTGTAGTTATGCCGATGAAAATCTTGTGTCACAGGCAAACTAAATAACTCGGTTCCCTCTAATCATTAACCCATGTTTGTATCATTGAGTTAGCTCCGTGTGTTGCTGCTAGCATACATGATACCTGACGTGGAAACGTTACTCGTGGATGGGGCTACAGAGCAACTAGAAAGACAGTCGAACCCGGTGCATTTCTCCGTCTGGATGTGGAGCACTTTTGCTAAATGTTTAGACAGATTGCTCGTGTTCCCGCCCTGACATGCTAAACTCTTATTGCACTTTAGGCAACGAGCGAGACGGGTAAAGTTTAACCACACCTCGGAGCGCGTTCTCTCCGCCATCTCCTCCGTGTGTGTGTGTTGCTGCATGTAGCAGAGCGTGTGTGTGTAAACTGCCCCGCCCCCTCGCACACAGGCGGGGGAGAGAGATCTCTCGTCTGGATTGGAGAGATCGAAAATACTAAAAATGACGCATTTTGCAGTGTTTTTGCGTATTAGAAACAGAGTAGGCGACACTAAAACTGCAATATAATGTTTGTGTAGCAATAATACACATGACATATTTTTTACATGTCTCCAGTACTGATAAAAAGACCGATAACGTCGGAGCTTAACGGTACCACGGTCTTTAATAATTCAGCCCCGGGGCCCGTTTAATGCCGGGGCTCGGTACCCATCCCTACACCTCACTGTCCATTAGACCACCAAAATTAAATGAGATCCGTTTTTGGCGGACAATATTTATTTGTGGCGGCCCGCATATATCCAGTACTTGTGTATATGGGATTAATGAAGTATATCTCATCTTTATACATAATGCAAATGGTACAAATACCTTTTATCCAATCAATAAAACGTGTTATTGATCCCGCAGCTGGACGAGGAGCTGAGTGGAGTCGTGGAGGTGATCGGGATGGTTTCTAATAAAGGAGTCATCATGGCCACGACTTACAACCTGCTGCGAGAGGACAAGGGCGTCCCTTTTGGTGAGCTTTCATATACATGTATAAAAAGTCAGATCTTTTCTTTGTTGAAGTTTTTATTTAATTTGGACTTTTGAGAAAAGAAAGCTAAATGTTAAAACATGTTAACATGAAAATTGTTCTCCCTTTTTGTTCCTGAAATAATTGAAGGATCAACCCTGGATGTTATTTACTAAAACATCAAAATGTCGGATTTAACTTCAGCGTTTTTTCAGAAAAGTTCAGTTTTTCTGAACATTTTATTTTAAAATGTGACTTTTTCCATAAGAACAAAATATGAAAAGATATCAGTGTTTTTTCACAGATTTATGAGAAAAGAAAGTCTTCTTTTTTTTGCATTAACAACAAAGCACTCATTAAAGGTTAAATCAAAGAACAAGATTTTTAATTCAGGTTAAAACCTATCTATATATATATTGATCTATATTCTTAGAGACATTAACGTGGATCATCATGTCTTCATCATGTCTTCATCATGTCTTCATCATGTTTTCATCATGTCTTCATCATGTCTTCATCATGTCTTCTTCATGTCTTCTTCATGTCTTCATCATGTCTTCATCATGTCTTCTTCATGTCTTCATCATGTCTTCATCATGTCTTCATCATATATTCATGTCTTCATCATGTCTTCTTCATGTCTTCTTCATGTCTTCATCATGTCTTCTTCATGTCTTCATGTCTTCTTCATGTCTTCATCATATCTTCATGTCTTCATCATGTCTTCATCATGTCTTCTTCATGTCTTCCTCATGTCTTCATCATGTCTTCATCATGTCTTCCTCATGTCTTCATCATGTCTTCATCATGTCTTCTTCATGTCTTCATCATGTCTTCATCATGTCTTCTTCATGTCTTCCTCATGTCTTCATCATGTCTTCATCATGTCTTCCTCATGTCTTCATCATGTCTTCCTCATGTCTTCATCATGTCTTCTTCATGTCTTCTTCATGTCTTCCTCATGTCTTCATCATATCGTCTTCCTCATGTCTTCCTCATGTCTTCATGTCTTCCTCATGTCTTCCTCATGTCTTCTTCATGTCTTCATCATGTCTTCATGTCTTCTTCATCATTTCTTAATCATGTTTTCTGTCCTCATGTAATGTGTCTTGATATGTGTCTGTTGTTACACATGGAGCTGCTGTGATGCAAGGAGCATTTCAGACTTGATTTGATCGTTAAAGTATTATCGTATGTCATGTCTTCATCGTGTCTTCTTCATCGTGTCTTCTGTCCTCTTCAGACCTGGAGCTGTACACTGAGGCTCTGAAAGTGATCCATGACTTCCCGCAGCACTACCCGTTCCAGATGGCTGTCAGCGGATGAGTTCTGTCCTATTCCCACTTTCTGTTGTACAAAATGTGTTTTATTAAATAATTTCTGTCAGTAAAATTAAAATGTGTAAAGACCAAAAGATTCAGTCGTACGGTTTGATTTTATTTTGTATGACATTTTAAATTTTTGTTCTGAGAAAATAATCTTTTGAAGAAGAAAAGTCAGAATTCTGACACTTTTTCTCAGAATAAAACATTTTATTTTTTATCAGAACTAAAAAATATATATTTTTGCCTTTTATTTATTTTGTTCGAGAAAGTTACCGGTGCGCCAAGTAGGAAGTGGAGCACACATGAGACAACCATTTCATTGCAGACTGTTGTGTTTGTGTGGGGAAATGACAGTGCATACATTCGGACTCTGACTTCATTTTAGGGACATGTCGGCCAGCGGTGTAGAGCTAATTGTATTTGTTTAAGCACCGGATTGGCAAAACAGGAGAGTCTGTGAACCAGTCTGCCTTGATCTATGAATTAATGTCCGTGACTCTCAGAGTATCTGATGCCCGCAGCTGTTTTATAGAAGGAAAACAAATACTCAGAACACACACACACAGAGCGAGCTGAGCACAAACAGACTCACATCAATCATGCACCCTGATAACCGGACATCTCCTTCATAAAACGAGTAATAGGGGGAATAACCGGGCAGGTCGATGTGTGGTTGTGTGTGTAGAGGTGTGGTTGTGTGTGTAGAAGTGTGTGTGTGTATGTAGAAGTGTGTGGTTAAAGCGTAGCAGCCTGCGGTCGCTCTTCAGCTGTTCTAATGAAGGTCAACACAGTGAAGGCTCTTTGTAGCTGGTGCTGCTCTTCTCAGAGGCTGAGTCCCGCTGCCTACTGGTGCTGCAGCCACTTCAGGAAGTGAATGAGGTTTTCCTTCTATAAAACATAAAACAAAAATATTTATTTTATGTAGTTCTGAGAAAAGAAAGTCAGAATTCTAAAAATAAATGTTCACATCCCCCAAAAAGTGTTTTCATGTGGCCTTAATCCTCTTCCATAGTTTTGAGTCTGTATGAATGCATGTATATATTGAGTCTGGATGTAACACGATTTTCCCAAATGTTCCCGAGCCGTGTGAAAGATGTGAACGATGTGAAAGATGTCAGGCTTTAATCTGCTCGTTCATCAGGATGATTGATAACCTCTACTCTCTGACATTAGATTTGATCAAAGAGGAAATGACTGCTGTGAGAAAAAATCACTACGGAAAACAGACTGTATATCATTAGAGAGGGGGGGGTTACTGTCAGGGGGGTACAAGAAGCCTCTATATAGCCTGGGGGGGGGGCATGTTCCTGCAAGTCCAGACATCTGCTCACACACACACTCATATAAACTCATTCTTATCATTAAATCCCCAAAAAGATGAATATTCTCTTGCTTTTTTTCTAAGGAATCTGAGAAGAAAGTAAAAACAATTCAAAATGTCTCCTGATGTCGTCCTCTGATTTTTTCTCATTATTCTGAAAAACAAGTCAGGAAAAAATCATTAAAAGAAAAATATGTATGGAAAAGATCGGGGGAAAAAATAAATGTCATGTTTAATGTTCAGAGAAGAATAGGACAAAGAATTTTAATTTTTTTAAAAGACGGGTCATTTTTGTTTTTCTCAGAATCCTAAGAATTCATCTCTGAGTTTTGAGAGAAAAGTCTAAAAATATCAGATACAAATATATTTCTTATTTTCTCAGGAATGTCAGAAAAATGTAACTTTTTCCCAAAAGTACAAACATTTTCAGAATGTTTTTAACATCTGATCTCATAATCTTGAGAAAAAAGTCAGAAAAAATACATTTAAAAAAATGTTTGGGAAAAATAGAAAAAAGAACTGACGTTTCTCAGATTATTGAGGAAAGTCAGAAAAAAATTTTTTCAAACAAAATGTCCAAAAGTGTATGTAATGTTTGCTGTTCAGAAAATAATAGTACAAAGAATTATGATTTAAAAAAAAGTCAGATATTTTTGTTGTTGAAGTTTCTTTTTAACTCTGACTTTTTTTCTCAGAATTCTAAAATCGAATCTCAGAGGTTTTACATTTTTTTGGACTTTTTTCCATACGTGTTGGGGAAATGATTCCCAAGGCCCAGAACTGTGACCCAGTTTATCCGTTCAAACTGTCCTGACTGAGCACACGCACCTGTAACCTTGGCTGCTGTGCTCTCAGTGCTCTGTCTGTTCCTGCCTGTTGGCGTCAGCTGATAGAGGTGTTATGATTCTATCTTGTTCTGCACAATGTTGATTATTCTGGTCTGGGGTAGAGTTCTTCAGAATTGATTGTGGCGTCTCATCCGTGTGGTCAGACCGTGGCTCGTGACATGTCTTGTGAATTCTCCGGCCGAAGCTCCAAATAAACCGTCAGCGTTTGCCATCAAAGCTCCAGCTCTCCATCGTGTCTCCCTCTGAGTCCTGACTCCCATTGCTTCAGAAGTTTCCCCCACAATAAGTACACACATTTTTTTCACTGAATTTTGAGAATGAAAGTCAGAAAAAAATATTCTCAGAATTATGAGAAAACATTTTGCTGGTTTTTTGTTGTCGTTTTTTTTAAATTAAACTCCGAACTCTGAGACACTTTGAAAATAAAATCAGACTTTTTCTCATCTCCTCTCCCGTATATTCTGATAATAAATGCTTTATATTATTGATTATCTTACATCACGTTGTGTGATTTACTCTTTAATGGGATTTTTAAACTATTAGGTGAAATTCTTCGTTGAGTTAACAGCTCTGTGGGCGAAGTGAGGCACGTTTCACTGCGAGAGCCCACCCTCAAACTGTCCAATAAATTAATCCTCTTTAAGCTGCAATTAAACCTTCATCTCAGAACCAGAATACCTTCATTCGTCCCACAGAGGGGAAAGTTACATTGTTACAGCAGAAAAGAGTCACAGACAGCTTAATGTTAACTAAGAAGCATGCATACATTTAAAAACCTCATGCATCAGTGTTCGCTGCTTCTTTCTGTTCGCTGCACTGCGACTCATCATCCGTCAGAATAACGTCTCTTCTCTTCTTCACGTTGAGTCTTTCTCTGCAGGTCTGGATGTTTATGGTTCTGCTTGTTAACCGGTCGATGACCACAGAAACTCCTCAAGTTTATAACCCATTATCATACCTCAGGAGCAGAGGTGGGAAGTAACTAAGTACTGAATACTTCTGGAGGTTATTAGTTCATACCCCACATACCGAGCAGGACACTCTTTAAAACTCAGTGTTTGTGTTTATATATGTACTGAGATGGCAAAAGTACACACTTCCTTTACTCAAGTAGAAGTACAGATACTCGTGTTTAAAAATACTCTGGTAAAAGTAGAAGTACTGACTAAACTTCTTTACTCAAGTAAAAGTAAAGAGGCTTTGAAATGTACTTCAGTAAAAAGTACCCATAACTAGCAGCTGTTTTAAAGAGTACTCCCTTTATATTAATAGAACAGAAGTAGAAAGTACAGGTATTTGTGTTCAAAATGTAAGAAGTAGAAAGTACAGGTATTTGTGTTCAACATGTAAGAAGTAGAAAGTACAGGTATTTGTGTTCAAAATGTAAGAAGTAGAAAGTACAGGTATTTGTGTTCAAAATGTAAGAAGTAGAAAGTACAGGTATTTGTGTTCAACATGTAAGAAGTAGAAAGTACAGGTATTTGGGTTCAAAATGTAAGAAGTAGAAAGTACAGGTATTTGGGTTCAAAGTGTAAGAAGTAGAAAGTACAGGTATTTGGGTTCAACATGTAAGAAGTAGAAAGTTCAGGTATTTGTGTTCAACATGTAAGAAGTAGAAAGTACAGGTATTTGGGTTCAAAATGTAAGAAGTAGAAAGTACAGGTATTTGGGTTCAAAATGTAAGAAGTAGAAAGTACAGGTATTTGTGTTCAAAATGTAAGAAGTCAAAGTAAAAAGTCGTCGGAAAGATAAGTCGTGGAGTAAAGTACTGATACCAGAAACATGTACTTAAGTACAGTAATGAAGTATTTGTACTCCACTACTTCCCATCTCTATGTATATACATAATTGTAGACATATTTTTATATATATTTGTATTTTGCATTCCTCTGGATTGTGGGAAACGGTATTTCGATCTCTCTCTCTGACTTTAAGAAAAGATAGGACTTTATTTATCCAGAAGGAAATTGTTGTGCCAGAGTTACAAAAACACAATAAACACAGCAGCATTATTAATAATAAAGTGTAATGATGGTAATGGTATTCATATTGCACATGGTGTTGGTGCCCGTTCTGGTGCAATGTGATCCAACATGTCTCCTGTCATCTATCAGGCCAGTCTTCTTCTCTCATCTGCTCAGTCTGAAGCACCTGGGGGATCTGCTGCAGAGGATCGGGGTCACGGAGGCTCCACACCCTCTAAAGCTGTCTCTGCACACGGCTCTGTGGAGGATATATAGCAGAGAGGCACTTTGAAGTTACATTAAAACAATGATCTCTCTCTGAAGGACAGAGTTCAGATCCATGTGGGCCTCGAGCAGAAAGCAGATCTGTTGGAGACATTCGTCACATCAGAGACATGCAGACTGATAGTCTTGGGAGAGAAATCAGAAAGCCTTGTTGCAATGGGACTGAAACAAATACTATATGAGAAATTAAATAACAAGTTTTAGACTTGAGGAAGGCTTTTGTATTGCATCATCGTAATGTGTGCTTAGCTGTGGGGCTCACAGTTATCAAATGCTGGCATGCAGTGCATCAACAGTGTTTGCATATAGAGAGGTGCAGTGACGAGTCCTAAAACCTGGAAGTGAGTTAGCATTTCACCACTTCCTGTTCCCTCGTCTCAGAGCCAATGGGATTTCTCCATAGGATTTTGGAATATTGTAAAAAATAAGGTCTGTGGAAAATGAACCTGTTTGACAAATGCATGTTTTGTTCAGCGGGATAATCTCCACATGTCTACCCTACTTTTATAATGTTCTAATCATAAATCTAATGGCCAGAAGCAAAATGCTAACGTTATGCTATAAAGGAATTACAGCGAGTCCAGCAGCACGACTTCAACGTCACGCCGACTTCAGATCCATATTCAAACATACAGATTCTAAATGGTACGAGTTGAAGCGTTTGTTTGAACAG